TCACTTGGGTTGTTACCAACATCTGGTGAAAATTTCATGTCAATAGCACCTCTAGTAATATATTTACTGAGAAAAATGGTGACGTGTTCAATACTTATTTTACCCGCTGTATAAGCATTTTTGCATGTCCAGACACCCCCTTTTTGAAAGGAGCCCCCTCCTCAAATATGGGGTGTATCGTTAAACCATTGGCTGGTACAGTGTAGGTCAGACTCATCTACAGACCTGCCAAATTTCATGTTGATTGGTGCAGATGATTTTGTGCTACGGTTGACCAAATATCACTGGGGGGAAAAAAACAGTACGAAAACAATATGACTCCCGCTTATGCTTCGCATGCGGGGGTCATGATAATTAGGTTTATGTATCTTATAGTGCTACACATTTGGATTTCATAGTTCAGGTGTAGAGTAACGGCAGCATTAGGATTTGTAAATCATTGTATTCTGTTTTTGTTTTACACAATGTCTTAACATCATTATAATCGGGGTTGTACACAATTGTTTGCAATGAGATGTAAAAATGTGTCAAATTGTTCAATTTCATCAGTAAAAGTAAAACTTTGCTGAGAACTGTGAGGTTTCCATGTCTGAAGCTTTCACCCTGTGCTCCCTGCAGAAGCAGGAGCTGGTTGCTCAGTATGAGAAGAAGCAGAAGGAGTTAAAACATCTGTGTGTGGAGGAGGGTCAGCTGAAGAGAGCTCAGGCCATGAAGATGGACAAGGAGTGCAAACACAACATTCAAAAACAGAAGAAGAAGGAGATGAAGGAGCAGCACGTTCAGGAAGTGTTGGGGTATTCACCTCCGTTTTGTCACATTTTACACATATGAAGGTTTTGATACAGAACTCAACCTCAGCTCTTCCTCAGGACCTTTGACCACATCCTCCAGAAGCGTGAGGAGATGGCCAACAAAATCCAGGAGATTTCTGCAGAGAAGCAGCAGCTGAAGACCAAGATCAGCAGCCTGAGAGACGTGTGCAGCAAAGAGACAGAGAAGGCTCAGGTAAAGCTCTTTGTACCTGTCAGTGTGGAGGATCCTTCCTGCTCTGAGACTCACATGTTCTCTCTCTCTCTCTCTCACACACACGTGCTCTCTCTCTCTCTCTCTCTCTCTCTCTCTCTCAGAGGCAGATACTCTCTCTC